TGATTACAAATTATAATACATGCTATGAAGGAAGCATAGGAGGTGCTGGGGAAAGGGGAATGCTATAAATTTTATTTTTAAGACTGAAGGGATGCTATTGGAGGACTTGGAGCAAGCAAGTGACTTCGTCTAACCTACATTTAAAAACTATCACTGTGTGGAGAATATATCATAAAAGTAGCGGCAGGGATACCTGTTTGGATGAAATAGCAGATTGCAGCAGCTGTCATGGATGAGGGTGATGGTGGTAGTAATAAGTGCTTAGAGTTAGGATATATTTTGAAGAAAGGTAAATAATGCAAGATTGAGGGTCAGTTTTGAATGCCTATGTAATTTTTCTTTGCATTTTAGAATGCCATGTTAAATGTCTCTATTTCAACTATCTTTTAAAATAAACTGTATTTCCTTAGCATTATCTATCATAAGAGGCATTACTGTGTCAAAGACTGAACATTTTGCATGGCTCAGATAAATACTGTAATTGCCTTCCAAAAAGAGTGTACCTGTTTATTGTGTCACCATAAATGTTTGAATTTTATTTACAATTTGCTCTTGCCAGTATAGTACATTTCATTTAGAGAAGTTTCTTGCTACCTTAGTAGATGGAAAAAAATTGCACTTTAGTTGGAAGTGAGGGAAATATAAATATTTGCATTTTTATTATGGCGCGTTTAAGTGCCTTAATTTACGCTAGTGTCCTAAGGATATTAGTAACCTATATACCTGATCTAGATGTTTACTTTTTAAAAGGCTGGAAGTACTAATTAAAATTTAAAGTCTTAGGGCCAGGCACAGTGGCTCATGCCTGTAATCCTAGTACTCGAGGAGGCCAGAGTGGGTGGATTGTTTGAGCTCAGGCGTTCAAGACCAGCCTGAGCAAGAGGTAGACCACATCTCTAAAAATAGCCAGGTGTGGTGGGCGCCTGTAGTCCCAGCTACTAGAGAGGCTGAGGCAAGAGGGTCACTTGAGCCCAAGAGTTTGAGGTTGCTGTGAGGTACAACGCCATGACACTCCACTAAGGGTGACAAGGTGAGACTCTTGTCTCAAAAAAAAAAAAAAGAAAGAATTAAACTCAGCCAAATCAATTATAAAATAAAATGAAAATTTTAAGTCTTGCCTTTTCTTTGTTCCATCATTAATTAGGTTTCATTGTGGAATCTGTGTTTTTAAATTGATCAGGCTTTGATAACCAGTTCTCAGAGTGATGATTTTTTTAATATGAAGATAATAATATGTGTCAAGAATACTTCAAATTTGTTAAGTTACTGTGTTAGCTTACAGATAGAAAGGTAAAGTGTCATGTGGGTCTTTGGCACATAATCTTTTTTTGTTGTTGTCTTTTTTTAATACAACCATTTAAAAATTGAAAAATTATTCTTAGCTCATTGGCCATTCAGGAACAGTGGGCAAGATTTGGCTTGTGGTCAATATGTAACCTTTATGTAATCTTTGGAAAAATTCTGCATCGCTGCATAATTACTTTTTTCTACCCTCACATATAGTTGACCCTTGAACAGCATAGGTTTGAACTGTGCAGGTCTATTTAATAGGGGGATATTTTTGAATCAAACACAAACTACATTTGGGTTCCTAGGGCCAACTGCAGGATGCATGTAAGTGTGAATTTTGAAATGGAGGAGGGCATTTCCTAGAACTATAGTCCTCTACCTATACTGAGGATATTCCTTTACTCATAGCTAAGCACAATTTGGAACAAAATCTTTATTATATATTATTTTTACTAGATTATACTTCGTCATTTAACACTTTTGTTCTTTAGTTTTTACCAGGTTACACTGCTTCTTTATGTAGCTCAATGACTGTGCTTCTAAGGATAAGGACTCTAGTTAACTTTGAAAATTATGAATTTTTAACATATGCCTGTTATTTCTCACCAGAAATACTGTTTATCATTAAGTTGTGGATTTTTTTTAAATAATCGAATGTGGCTTGGAACTTTGTTGTTAATGTTTTAAGGATCTGAAAGGGAAAGGATAATGGAAATGAGATGTATCAGTGAAAAGGGACTGCTTCCTCAGTTTCTTAGTCCCTTTGGTGGGGATACCCATTGTGGAAATAGAAAATACATACAAAAACTATTATAGGTCAAGTATTTCCTAATCTGAAATTTTGGGGACCAGAAGTATTTTGAGTTTGGATTTTTGGCAGAGGGATACTGGACCTATATTAGTGAGTTAAGGGTGTGAGGTGACAGTAATAGGATAAGGAAAAGTCTGTGCCCAGTTTTTTACATACTCTAGAGCTACATCTGAGTAATAGATTGACTCTAAGACACTATACTTCCAATTCCTGCTTTTTCATCATTATTCCAAAGTAATGGTTTTCAATTTATAACCTATAAGAGTTCTTTCAACCAGTTAATTAAGGGAATAGGCTAAATAATAAAATGTCAACCAAATGTTCAAATCTTTATTAAAGAGCTTATTTAAGGAATAAACATTCATCCTTTTTTTCTAACCGATGAGATAATGTTTTTATAGGCAATGTGGAAAATATAATATGCTTTTAAAGATAAGAAAGAAATCGTAGTCCAATGTAGTTTTTTACACTTTAGAATTGAAAGTCAAAGTAAGAAATACATTTAATATAGCATCTAGTACCAAAAAAAATGATAAACAAGAGATAAGTATCTCTTAAATTATTGTCATCAAAAGATAGCCTTTATTAACATTTTGATATATATACTGCCATTTTTTAAATACAAGTACAGATATATTTGTACAAAATATGTATACATTTTATTGGGGTCATACTACATATTTATCTTTTTATTCTTAAAAACATTTTTCGAACATTTTACTAAAAACATGTTTAATGACCATTTTTTCTCTCTAATTGACAGAATGGTCTGTAAAGTAATTCATGAACTCAGGGCACTTTTGTACCACAGTGTGAAACAATAAGAAATAATTTCTTTATGCTGATACTTTATACCCATTGTCAGCCCTTCCTCTTATTCCATGGCTTCACATTGTACTATCTTCTTTCCTTACTTTTGAAGCCTTGGCAGAGGACGTGAGATCTTAGGTATAAGGATTACTCAAAACTCAGAGGAATATCTTGTTTTCATTTAAAGATTCTGTTGAAGTTACCCATTCCCCTCCTTTACTCAATTTTGTACTTGCATTATCTATTTAAAATCTCTTTGTCTCCCCCTACTGAGCACAGTGGTTCATGCCCATAATCCTAGCACTCTAGGAGGCCAGGGCAGGTGGATTGCTTGAGCTCAGGAGTTCAAGACCAGTCTGAGTAAGAGTGAGACCCTTTCTCTACTAAAAGTTAAAAAAACTAGCCAGGCATGGTGGCACACACCTATAGTCTCAGCTACTGGGGAGACTGAGACAAGAGGATTGCCCGAGACCAAGAGTTTGAGGTTGCTGTGAGCTATGACACCAGGGCACTTTACCCGGAGCAACAGAGTGAGACTCTGTGTCAAAAAAAAAAAAAAAGGAAAAGAAAAAAGAAAGAAAAGAAAACTCTTTTTCATAGACGCCCTTTAGAATTTGCAGATAACAGTTTGCTCTTTGTAGTATCCATCTGTCCGTTAGATATTGCTTCCAGGTTTTTTTTTTTTTTTTTAAACAAGTGGATGAGGGCAGTAGAATTTTGAGTATTGACTATTTTCCTATGTATTCCCTTGGCTATAAAAAAAATAAGTGCATGAAAATTATTTGTAAGTTCATTAGTTTTTATCATCTAAATCATCTTGAATAACAGTTGGTAGAGCTATCCCATTTTTGTAATTACAGTGTTTTTCTTTAGGTACTTTTTTATTACTAGTATGTACCCTTGAATTGTTGAGTATCTCTGTATAACACTTTAAAAAATCTTTTTTGTGATAAAACATGCAGAACATAAAATATACTGTTGCAGTTATTTTTAAGTGTACAATTCATCATCATTAGTACTTTCATTATGTGCAGCATCACAATTTTGTGTAATCACTATTTTCAGAACTTTTTTTGTCTCTCAAACTGAAACTCCATACCCAGTAAATAACGTCCCCATCCTCCCTTCCCTTGCCCTTGGTAACTTCTGTTCTAACTTTTGTCTCTGTGAGTTTGCCTATTATAGGTACTTCATATAAGTGGGATCATGTGCTGTGTGTCTTTTATGTCTGGTTTACTTCATTTAGTATAATGTTTTCAAGGTTTCTCCATATTGTAGCATGCCCAGATTCAGTATCCCTATCCAAATGCTTAGGACCAGAAGTGTTTGGGATTTTGAAATATTTGCAGATACTTAACCAGCTCAGCATCCCTAATTCAAAAATCTGAAATCAGAAATACTTGATGATCATTTCCTTTGAGTATCGTAGTGTTTAGATAGTTTTAGATTTTGGAGCATTTTGGATTTCAGATTTTCAAATTAGAGATGCTCAACTTGTATCAGAATTTAATCCTTTTTTATGGTGAATAATGTTCCAAAATACAATAATAATGTTGTATGTATATACTATATTTTATCAGTTCGTTAATGGACACTTAGCTACGCTTTGGCTGTTGTAAATAGTCTTGCTATGAACATTGATGTGCAACTCTCTGTTTAGAGTCTCTGTTTCCAGTTTTTTTGGTTCTGTACATAGGAATGGAATTGCTGAATCTGACAGTAATTCTCTGTAGAACTTTTGAGGTACTTGCCCAACTGTTTTCATAATGGCAGCATCATTTTACATCCCATCACAGCAATGGACAGGATTTCGGTTTCTCCACATCCTCATCAACACTTATTTTTTTGGCCACTGTAATGGATGTGAGGTGGTATCTCATGATTTTGATTTTCATTTCCCTAATGACTGATGCCATTGAGAATCTTTTTGTGAACTTATTAACCAGCTTTTTATCCTTGGGGCAATGTTTCCTCAAGTCCTTTGCTCATTTTTAATTAGATTGTCTTTTTGTTGTTGAGTTGCATGTAACACCTTTTTAAAAGTAAAAGGTGCACTGTAATAATCCAGACTGTGTTTCTCCTTTCTTAGGATTCCTACAGGAAGCAAGTAGTAATTGATGGAGAAACTTGTCTCTTGGATATTCTCGACACAGCAGGTCAAGAGGAGTACAGTGCAATGAGGGACCAGTACATGAGGACTGGGGAGGGCTTTCTTTGTGTATTTGCCATAAATAATACTAAATCATTTGAAGATATTCACCATTATAGGTGGGTTTAAGTTGAATATAATAAATTGACATTGAGGAGTAATACAGTTTTCAGTTTATTGAGTCCTTGCCAACTGCCATGCATATATTATCTAATTCAAATTTTAAAATGATTTTGTGAGGTAATATTCATGTTTTAGAAATGAAATCCATAGGGGTTAGAACAATTGAGTCATTTGTTCAAGATTGCATAGATAGTGGTGGTACTGAGATTGAAATCTAGACCTGTTTGACTCTAAAACCTTCTGTACTCTTAACCACACAACACTAGGAAAGTAAGACTGTAAGCTTTTTATATACATCATAAAATTTAAAACCATAAACAAAAATATGAAAAGGTGATTTGAGATGGTATCACTTGAATAGTCTTAAGAATAATCATGTAGGCCAGGTGCGGTGGCTCACTAATCCTAGCAGTCTGGGAGGCTGAGGTGGGTAGATCCCCTGAGCTCAAGAGTTCAAACAGCCTGAGCAATAGCAAGGTCCCTGTCTCTACTAAAAATAGAAAAAACTAGCCAGGCATTGTGGCAGGTACCTGTAGTCCCAGCTCTTTGGGAGGGTGAGGTAAGGGGGAGCACTTGAGCCTAAGAATTTGAGGTTACTTTGAGCTATGACACCAGGGCACAGAGTGAGAGTCTGTCTCCAAAGAAAAAAAAAGAAAAGAAAGAAAATCACATATACCTAGGGTAGAATTTTTTGGACTGGATAAACAACTCAGAAGTTGTAAACAATTGAAGAATTAGAGCAGTTACAGATATAAGAAAAATCTGACAAATCTGCATAAAACTGACTACTTTAAAACAATCATTATATTACATATGTTTATATTCTGTTTCTCAGAGGGTTTGCAGTTTTCGTAAAACTCATATTAAACAAATATTCCACTCACTGGTTATGTCATGTAACAGTGAGTTAGCAGAGTTAAAAAATTAACTATTTTATTTAAGAGCATGCTTACTGTATACTGTAGTACTAGAGAAAAAGAAATCTGGATGAGGGTAGTGGTATATTTTTATAGGGTAGTAAATAGATGAAATTTGTTAACTTAGCCATGTTTTCCCAGCTAATAAGTAGAGGAACTGGGACTTTAAACCAGTTCTGACTCTCTTGTCTACTGTGTTCCTTATTCTATATTACATTTTTGAAAGCTACCTAAAATTGGGGAGAATATAATTTTACCCCAATTCAGAATTTGTTTGTAATATCGAAAATTAGCAACAGAGAGAAAGGGTTTTTAACAGAATAAATTGTGGTAACTTCAGTGTTGTCCACCTAGAAATCAAAATCTTTCCAATTGTCACTTTTTTGAGAAAGCAATGTGAAAGTTATGTAGTGCTGTAATTTAGATTTTTGTAAAAGTATTTTTTTCTTTTAAATTTATTTTTTTGAGACTGAGTCTCACTTTGTCGCCCCTGGTGGAGTGCCATGGCATCACAGCTCATAGCAACTTCAGACTCCTGCGCTCAAGCCATTCTTTTGCCTAAGCCTCCTGAGTAGCTGGGATTATAAGTGCCCTCCACAATGCTTGGCTATTTTTAGAGACGAGGGTCTCCCTCTGGCTCAGGCTGCTCTTGAACTCATGAGTTCAGGCTTTCTGTTCACCTTAGCCTCCCAGAGTTCTGGGATTACAGGTGTGAGCCCCTACACCTGGCAAAAATATTTTTTATACAGATATATTTAACCACATACGTAACATGTTTGTCATATTATACTTTTTAAAACTAGGTGTAGAACTTTGGGTCTAGACTCTTTCAGTATTTTCTGTTTTATCATTATGATCTAACGATATATGAACCTTCATTAGATTGTAGTTTTACTGTACTTCTAGGTATTTTATCTTTTAGGAAATATACAAGGTTTCTGTTTAAGGGGGAGAAAAAATAACTAGAAGAAGAAACAAGGAAAATTTGGTATGGTGGAAATTAGGAATTACATTGTCTGCCTTTAGCCAAATTTTATAAAATAAAAATGCAGTTTTTGAAATATATTTATATTACTAATGTCTCTGCCATAATTTATTTTTCTTCCTCAGAGAACAAATTAAAAGAGTTAAAGACTCTGAAGATGTACCTATGGTCCTAGTAGGAAATAAATGTGATTTGCCCTCTAGAACAGTAGACACAAAACAGGCTCAGGACTTAGCAAGAAGTTATGGAATTCCTTTTATTGAAACATCAGCAAAGACAAGACAGGTGGGTAAAATTAGAAAAAAATGCAAATCCATTTTCTGTGATTTAAAACGAAGTGATTTTAATCATTAATCATAATTTACTTATATATATTTTAATATTTAGGGGGCAGGAGAATAATAAATGTATATACATGATAATATAAATGTTTGATTTAAGGTGATTTATCAGTTTTCCTTTCATTATACCAAAATAGGAAATAAAACAATGTTTATTTGGTAAATGTTCTCTCAAGAGGGCAGTGCTGCTTAATGCAGCATCCCTGATAACACTGTTGGCTTTCTTATAATCTTAGGATAACACACTTTTCTTTCCATGTTGAAAATTTCTCTCAATTCTGATCATTGTGTTTAAGATTCAAAAGATGTGGAAATTTTTTCACTGTTACATACCTAAAGACATAAAATGGTAACAAAATTTGAGTTTCCAATGTTAGAAGTACTTTTACGAGTATTATGTCATGTTTTTAGGTTAAATTTTGTTTTACTTGAAGAGGTTTACTTTGGTGAAAATTTTTTGAGGACATTTATTTTTAGAGAAAGTTCATTAGAGCAAGAGAATACTTAGCAAATAAATAGAAACTCTTGGCTATTGATTTACTGTTTCATTCTGACCAAAATTGTTAAGTGGAACCTGAGTTTTGTTTCAAAAATCATCTTCATTTAAAAAACCATTTAAGGCCTGGTGTGGTGGCTCATGGCTGTAATCCTGGCACTCTGGGAGGACCTGAGGTGAGTGGATTGTCTCAGCTCATAGGTTAGAGACCATGCAGAGCCAGAATGGGACCTTGTCTCTAGAAATAGCCAGGTGTTGTGCTGGGTGCCTGTAATCCCAGGTACTTAGGAGGCTGAGGCAAGAGAATTGCTTGAGTCCAAGAGTTTGAGGTTGCTGTGAGCTGTGATGCCACGGCACTCTACTGAAGATGAAAAAGTGAGACTCTGTCTCAAACCCCCCCAAAAAACAAAAAAAACACATCTATTTCTCTAGATAAAATAAAATAATTTCAGTTGATGTTATATAACCTATTTGAACAAAGGAATGCAATTTTCACATATGGTCATTCGTTGCTTAACAATGAAGATCCATTTTGAAAAATGTGTTCTTAGGTAATATTGTCATGTGAATATATACACTGTGCTTACTAGCCTACTACACACCTAGGCTGTGTGATATATAGCCTGTTGCTCTTAGGTTACAAACCCAACAGCATGTTACTATACTAAATGCTGTCGGCAGTTATAACACAATGGTAAATATTTGTGTATCTAAACCTAGAAAAGGTACGGTGAAAATATGGTATAAAATATTTAAAAATGGTACACATACACACACCTGTATGCTTATATGAATGGAACTTACAGGATTGGAAGTTGCTGTGGTAAGTGAATCGTGAGTGAGTGTGAAAACCTAGGACATTACTGTGCACTACTGGAGACTTTATACAAACACTTTACACATTGGTTACACCAAATTTATAAAAAATTTTTTTCATCAATAAGCCTACTGTAACTTTTTTACTTTATAAACTGGGATTTTTTACGTTGTACTGTTTGTTTAAGTAAAAAACACATTCAATATGCTGAAATATTTTATATCCTTATAAGCTTTTTTCTAGTTTTAGAATTTTTATCTTTTTTAACTTTTTCATTAAAAATTATGACATGTACACATATGAGTGTAGCCTATACAGGGACAGGACCATCAGTCTTCCCCCTCCACATCTTGTCCCACTAGGAGGTCTTTTACAGGCTGTAATATGCTTGGAGCTGCCATGTCTGGTGATAACAATGTCTTTTTCTGGAATACTTCCTGGAGGACCTGCCTGAAGCTGTTTTATAATTAACTTTTTTTTTTTTTTAAGTAGAAGGAATGTACTTTCTAACAATAAAAATTATAGGTAATACACAAACTAGTACTGTAGTCATTTATCAGATATTACATGCTGTCCATAATGGTATGTGTTAACATTTTTATATAACCGACAGCACAGGTTTTTGCCAGAATCACCACAAACACATACGTGTTGTGCTATGTATGATATTACAATGGCTACAATGTCACAAGGGGATGGGAATTTTGCAGCTTTCTTACAATCTTATGAGAGCTTTGTCATATGTGTGCAGTTTTTTGTTGACTGAAATGTTGGTCCATGACAGTACTAAAAAATTGATCAATTTATGTTCCATAAATTTGTTCAGGGCTTTTGCTGGTTATATGTACCTATGAGCCCAGAAAATTGATTTTATGGAATTTAATTTTTGTAATACTATAAGTTAAAACAAAATTGATGAACAAGTCATTACATTGTTAAATTTATAAAAATGGGCATTCTGTGAAAGTTCTATTGAATTTTTTTTTTCTTTTGAGACAAGAGACTCACTTTGTTGCCCTTGGTAGAGTGCTGTGGTGTCACAGCTCATAGCAACCTCAAACTCTTGGGCTGAAGTGATTCTCTTGCTTTAGCCTCCCAAGTAGCTGGGACTACAAGCACCCCCCATATTTTTTTGGTTGTAGTTGTTATCGTTGTTTAGCAGGCCTGGGTTGGGCTTGAACCCACCAGCATATATGTATGTGGCTGGCACCCTACTCACTGAGCTACGGGTGTCACTATCTATTGAATTTTGTAAAGGTAAAAATTTAAACATAAATCATTATTTACCCAGTATGTATATCTTATTTCCCTAGTGGGAGATGTGTACCTCTTCCAGTTATACAATTTTGGTACATAGTAAAGAAACAATGAATTCTATTTTAAGTTTTTGTTTGGGGATTAACAACTGTTTTTCTGTAGTTTGACCGTCATGTAAATATTTTCTCCCTGAGAGATTTACTAAAACCTGATTTTATAGATTAAAGACAGACTTGATGTGCTTTGCTTCATCTAAAGGATTTTAAAATTTCATTTAACCCTGTGCCTAGGTTCCAAAGACAAAGAAGAGGCTTATTTTTGTCTCCTTTTTATTGGCCTTTTCTGACTAGTCTCCTTGATTTTCCTTAGGAGAGAAGGCACTCAGAAAATATGATTTTAATATTTATAACTTTTTCTTCCAACACTTTCTTATGAAAGATTTTCAGATATAAAATTGAAAGAATGTTTTTTAAAACATGCAGACCTACTACCAAGATTCTCCCGTTATTTTATTATCCTACATGCTTCTTAGACTGGTGAACATTTGAGTTTATATTTCACAAAGGAAATACTGAAGATACTTTGCTGATGTTGTAAAGGGTTGCAGTAGATAAGTGCTTCTTGTACTTCTATACGCATACAAAAGTTAACTGGGCTTATTGAATTCTAATTCAGGTTAGAATTAATTAATTTAGGTTGAGACCTGTGATTCTACATTTCTAACAAGTTGCTGGGAGATACTGGTTTTGATGCAGGGTCCACACTTAAGAATAGAAAGGCAACAAAGACCAGGAGGAGTTGTCGTCATTCCATCATTCCCATGTTCTCCATTTCCCATTTGTTTAGTCTAGAAGAGCTCTGTCTTGGTTTTTTGTTGTATGATTATTACGCCTGCCACAACACCCCTCTATTTTCACAATTGGTATTGTTTAGCAGGCCTGGGTTGGGCTTGAACCCACCAGCATATATGTATGTGGCTGGCCCCCTACTCACTGAGCTACGGGTGTCACTATCTATTGAATTTTGTAAAGGTAAAAATAGAAGTACTAATTGATTCTTGCTGTTTGATGTTAACACGTAAATATGACACAGCATTCATATTTGATCAGAAAACTATCTGGTAATTTCTTTTAAAATAGAATTTTAGGTTTATACTGTTTTGTGGCCTTGGAAGTGTTTTTGTTTGGTTTGGGTTTTTTTGAAGGTGTATGGTATCTAAGTAGTAGATTAACTTACATTTGCTTTGTAGACATTTATGTGGATTATCTAATTAAAATATAGAGAAACATAACATGTAAGAATATTCATTCTTCCTGACCTAGCACCCAGCCTTCTTTATATCTGTATCCTGATTTATTGGTGTTTTTATGTAATTTATGTTGCTAAGCTATAACTTAAGATATTTAATTGCTATTCTTAGATTTCTTTTTGTTAAGTGGACTTGTTGATTTGCTTAGAAATTAATTAGCCTTTGAGGAGTTTTATCTTCCTCTATCTCCTTCTAATATTTGCATGCTTTTGGAAAACTTTAAAGACCTATTCCAAGTAACTATAGAGATTATAAAACAAAATATGTAAAATTTAAGACATTGCATCTCCAGTTTGTGAACATGTGAAGCCCTACTTTCTGCAGAGTACTGTGTTTCCCCCAAAATAAGACCTACCCCCAAAATAAGCCCTAGCAGGATTTCTATGCATAAGCCCTACCCCCATTAATAAGACCTAGTGATGGGCCATGCATTTCAGCGCAGAGCAGTAAGGAAGACTGGAATACCTTTTATCTGCCACAGCTCCTTTCTCTGAGCCCTTCAAGTAACTGTAACTGCAGTCGCAGGCATCCTATTGTGCACGTGCAAACAGCTAGGGGCAAGGAGTTCACGCATCACTAGCACCAGCCCCACCAACAAGGTCAGCTCCCCCTGTCAGGTTCCAGAAGAAGATGACTTAACTATATTTGAATAAATGTAGATTGTTGTATTATACTTAATAAAAATAAGACATCCCCTGAAAATAAACCCTAATATGTCTTCTTGAGAAAAAAATAGTGTGTCTTATTTTCAGGGAAACATGGTAGTTTGTTAACTCATCTATTACTCCGTTTATTTCTTACTTAAACAGAATTGATGTGTATATTCATATCATATTTTATCAGCAGCTTGGTTTGTGCCCTGATTTTTGATGTTGAACATGAGCCTTAAACACAAACACCAAAAGAATTACATTCAAGTTATAGAAATAGAGCAGTCATTTAGAAGTTCTCATAGATACAAATCAGGACCAGCAAACTTTCTGTAAAGGCCCATCTGGTAAATATTAGGCTTTGAAGGCCACAAGTGGTATCTATTGCACGTTTCTTTATTATTATTGTAACCTT